CTATGATGGAGTTCATGAGCATTAGTGTTGGAGGATGCCCAAGTCACACATTTACGGGCGAGCGTGTGATTGCAGCAGCTGCACCTTCATTTTCTGTCATTATAAATCTGCCTCAGTGTTATTAATGCAAAGTGCCTTTTTGATAATGTGCTGCATCATTGTATTAAAATCCATAACATACAGGAAACTGAGAAATATTGCCAGTAACCTGAAAGCCTGAACGCTTAAGGTTCACGTACCTTTTAACAAATGAATTTCTGGGACTTTTACAGTCATTCATAATTACTGGATTTTGATTTTAAAGTATGCATAATTCACAAACCCTTGTTATACGGACCATTTTCTCAGACTATGATGACGGTCATCAACATTGTAAATCCTGCAGCAAAGTTTTTCATATTTTCACTTCAGAAAAGTTTTTTTTGTACATTTATAACACTACACAAGTGACAAATAAAGCTAGTTAATGCTGCTGTGAGTGTTTCTAATACAGCAGCTGTGAAAGTGACAGTAAAGTTGATATGTCTGCCTTTATCTCTCTATCTTTTCCCTCTTTTTTAAAATTGTAAATATAATATAATATAACAAAAATATTTATTATATTTTTTTTTACTTATGTCATTAAATAAGAGTTATTATAGCAAAAACTGCATTATATTTAATTTATTTTAAACCTTTAATACCAGCAGAACTGTATGGCACCAGACAGGGGCAGTCGATCCCGGGTATTTTATTTAACTCACCATGTTTTCTCTTCCAAATTTAAATTTTACTGCCGCCATTTTATAACGGAAAATGTTTTCCCACTCGACATTATAAAAGTTAACGTTAGTGACAGTCGTAAATCGCGGGCTGTGTATTCCAGTGGACGCAAGTTGCAACTAAAACAATGGGCTATAGCCTATGCACGCATAAATTTCGCATTTGACGCAAGGATGCTCGTCCATTTCCGGTTGTGGAGATTTAAGCGGAGGAAAACCGAGAAAAACGGGATTATGGCAGAGTCTTTAAAATTTACTGTCCTCCAGTCTTTGAAATGAAACGTACATACGTTTAGATGTAATTTTATATATAGTTATATTTATTTAATATAATTTTAAAAAGAAGCATAAACACAACGAGGGGTGTCTGTTTTATCTGTTTTTGTGACTAACGTTTCTTTAGTATAACCATGGAGTATAAAATTCAATATAAATTCTCGGTATTGCATGGACTCTACGATCGGCGGAAGTTTCACCGGAAATACCGCCGTGCATAGGCGCGCAACGCTACCCATCAACAGCTTAGTTATGGCGCCCGCTTACTTCCGGTAGTTTCGCTGGATTCGTCTGGATGTGTTGTGCACGTTCCTCCCTCAATAACAAGATAAACACACAACAACGACAGCGGTGAAAACAGCATCTGATCATGTGGATGTTTCTTTCAACAACATGTCGACTGATGAGGTAGGCTAATTACAAATACACTGTTATGATAGTTTGATGATAGACTGATGTAGATCTGGCTGTAGATTGACACTCTTTATTGGTATCGATGGTTCCATTTATGGAAACTTTTCAATGCACAAATGGTTCTTTATTGTGATTTGTGAATAATCGTTCTTTAGATTATTAAAATGTTCTTCACATGAAGAAATAAATGTTTCTCTGTCACTAAAAAGAAGGAAACATTCGCGTAAATTCTTTTGATTTTCCCGGCAAAAACGTCCCGCGTTCCTCACACAAGAGGCTCTCATCGACAACCTAAGTTGGGGAACATCACCTTTTATTTCGTTACAAGCTGTTCACACATCGGCAATGTAAAAAGCGATTTATACGTGAAAATTCTTCTTAAAAAATCATATGATATAGTTCGCAATCAATTATATCTCTCATTACAAGAACAAATATATTGACTAGAAATGTCCTTACTTAGTTTAGTTACAACTTTACTTTATCAATTCAACAGGGGCTTTATGATTTTATGCATATATCCATGATTCAATGAACAAATTTTAAATTCCCTGATATTTTCTGGTTTTCTTTGCCAGTAGTAACCAATAAAATGTATATTTTCAAATTGAATCCATTAAAACACATGATTGACAACCAATGTCATATCTTACAGTACATCATGCGTTAATGGTTACATCCTTTAGACTCTTTTAAAGGGCTACCACGAATAGGCCTAAGTTTAAATATAACGCTGATACATAGTAGTTTTAAAAATAATGCATATGGCCTCGCCTCGATCAAGTTTTGCCATCTTTGTCACTTTTCTGAGCACTAAACACACATTTGAAGGCTTAGGCACCCTTTGACTGGTTTTAGAGTGAGACTGAATCTTTAATGTTGTTAAAGCAAATCTAAGCGTGCCTGCGGGGGTGCTGGCATCTGAACGTGGTTTATTGATGTGTTTCGAATGAAAAATAATGTTCCTTCGTTTCTTTTCTCTTCATCCAATGTGAATGATAACACGTGCATCTCTCAATATTGTGCACAAAAATCAGTTTCACTTCATTTAACTTTTTACTAGCTATAGCAGATCCTTAATATTTGCATGCTCAGATATATATAATTCTAATTATATCACTTTTTGCATTTACAGTATGTGCTTAAATATTGGTAAACACCCACACTACTGAATTATAGATCTGAAGATGCTGAAGGTTAAGGCTGAATCTTTAATATTTATTAAAGAAAACAACATAAAAAAAATATTTTTGCACAGTAAGATATATGCAGCTGTGGGTATTGCATCCACATCTCACAGATACACAGTATATTTTCATGTTTGGGAGTCAAACGAGGCTTTTGAAATATAATATTACAGCATATTCATCATGTTGTCAGATTTTAATTGCACTTATTGTGTTCCGACCTTGGGCTTTATTTTTCCTATTAGATTTTCTGTCAGGCAATAACAAACAAACAACATTTTCTTTATCCTTTAATTTAATCCTACTTCTTTCAACATATATTGCATCTTGCAATTTATGAGTGAAAATAGTTTCAAAGTAAATCCTACACTAAATTATTTTTAGTGTTGGAACTCATTCTTGTATCATACTATAATTGATAGATACTTATCAACTTCAATAATTGATGAACACATCTATACAAAATTGCAATTAGATAATGCATGATTGCAATTCCACTGCTGTAAGGAGACATTCATATTTTCTAATTTTTCACTACTATCTGAACCACGGCATATAACTTAACAGATGCAGCAAGCATGCATACGTGTGGGACGGATATCATTTATACTATTTATGAAGTGTTCTGTGTTGCACATCCTGACCTGCTTTGAAACTATATTTAATTTTTACCCGTGCATGTAAATGCTTTTTGACTATTAATGAACAATGCAATTTTAATAGCATGTTTCTTCTGTTGGTGCATGAATATACCATAAAACATGACATAATGCAATACATGTTTTATTCTAAATACTGTTAATTTGAAGTGAATGATATGTCGCCATATGAGACATTGTATGGTAAAGGGATATTCAAGCTGTCATATGGTGGGTGGACGCTAAATGAGAGAAACTCTCAAAAAGCACAATACGCAGAGGAGTGAGTCAATGCCACACGAGAACGCCCACCATATGCAGGTGGCAATAAATTAACGTTGTTGAAACATATGCTGAATATATCAGACGTGGATAGTAAATGGTTTTCGCATTCGCACTGCATACTGAGAAAAAGGCCTTAGTGTTTTAGGAATCAGTTTCACGCTGTGTGACTCTAGTAAGGTGAGTCCCCGCTGATGGGGCCATGTGTAATTTATTTCATTTTCCCAGATGCCATTTACCCTCCCATCCGCTTCCGAAGACACGGTGTGTTTACTCAAACATTAGAGGAACTGATTTAAACAAGGGCTGAAATAGAAATGCTGTGACTGTCTGTTCGTGTGCACTGCAAAACATGATTTTCTTCCTCGGTATTTGTGTCTTGTTTTCCAGTACAAATATCTAAGCATTCTTAAATCAAGATACATTTGCTTGACAAGCAAAATGATTTAAGATATATTGTTTTATGAAAAAAAGCTATCAAAATGCTTAAAAGTAGAAAAAAAAAAATGTCAGTGGGGTCATATCAGGAAAAAAATATGATTTTTTTGGCTGATATTTTCTCTTGTTTTAAGCAAAAAACACTTTATTTAACATTTAATTGTTGTTTTTCTGAAAAACAAGTCTTTTTGCTTCTTCATGTATCTATGATTTAAGAATATTTAGATATTTGTACTGGAAACAAGACAAAAATACTAAGAAATCACTTTTTGCATTTTGTTAGCATAAAAACTAGAGCTGTCAAGCGATTAATCGTGATTAATCACATCGAAAATAAAAGTTTGTGTTTACATAATATATGTTGTTGCACTGTGTATAATTATTTTGTATATATGTATATGTATATTATGGCTGTCAAACGATTAATCGCGATTAATCTCATCCAAAATAAAAGTTTGTGTTTACATAATATATGTTGCACTGTTTATAATTATTTTGTATGTATATATATATATATATATATATATATATATATATTATGGCTGTCAAACGATTAATCGCGATTAATCGCATCCAAAATAAAAGTTTGTGTTTACATAATATATGTTAGTGCACTGTGTATAAGTATTTTGTATGTATATATATATATATATATATATATATATATATAAAAACACACACATGCATGTATATTTAAGAAAAAATATTATTTATATATAAAATATTTATATATCATATAAATTATAAATCTTTTATACAGTATATATATGAAAATATTTCTTAAATATATACAAGCATGTGTGTGTATTTATATATATATATATAAAATAATTAAACACAGTGCACCCACATATATTATGTAAACACAAACTTTTATTTTGGATGCGTTTAATCGTGATTAATCGTTTGACAGCCCTAATAAAAACCCTTCAAGCAATAGCAAAAACTTTTTTTATTATATTTTTTTTTATTAAACGGCTAAGTCCTCAAACAAAAATGTAAAAAAAAAAAACAAGTACACAAGTGGTGTATACATATATAATGATAACAACAATAATAATCCATATACCAATCAATTGGAAGTGCATTCGCTTATTTCCTAAGAAATTCTATATACTCATCGGATACAAATTTCTTACTTTCTTATTTAATCTAATTTCTGTAACGTCATCAACACATCATAAAACACGAGCGCAAACACATACTGCAGGCATGTAGGACTACTCCTCAACATTTGGTCATAATATCAACCTCATCTGTCTAGTTCCTTCAATAATAAACTCATTACACTTTAGTTCCACCATTCTGTACTTGCAAGAAAGGGAAATTTCAGTCTGACAGAAAAGTGGACGTGGGAACAAGAGTTTGGTCTCATGGGAAAAGGATTTTGCACCGCAGGCACTCCAATGAAAACAGCAGTTCTTCATTGCTAACTGTGGAGAAGATGGAGTTGAACAAATTATAAGACACTGAATGTTTTCCTTTGAACAACACCGCTCAAAATTGGCTGATTTACCTCCGTCAAGAAGAGGACGAAGCACCTTATGATGCTGAAATGTTGTATCAAAGTACTTCAAAACAGTTCACCGGTTCATCTTATCTGTTGGTTTTGATGCTTTTTGTTGGCTCTTGCATCAAACCAAAGACTTAATTTTGGTTCCTTGGTCATGTATCCATAATATCCCGTGCTGGAGTGGGTTCATGTGGGAGGCTCGTTGCATTCGGAAGAGCTTGTCCATGTCCCACTGAGTTCTGCTGGACTTCCATGGGAATTCCGGTTGCGTTCTCTCGATTCGGGAATTCCCGTGACTGTTTCCGGTATTCGAGAAAGGTGCACGCCTTGGTCGCGATGGCCACCACGTTCTTCCCGACGAAGATGGTGGAGACCCGGCTGTCCTGGAAGAGCACCATGTTGACGCCACGTATGAGGATGGTGACGATGTTGATGGTGACCAGACTGAGAAGAGGATAGAGCATCATCTTCTGCGGAGACACGTGGTCGCCCTGCACGCTGACCTCGCTCAAAGACACGCAGGGAAGAATCAGAAGCAAAATGTAGCAGTAGAAGAACATCAAACCTTCAGCCCAAATAGGCAAACCCGTCCGCTGTGGCTCCCAAAGGTTTGCCTGCATATCCAGCAGGTCCAGCAAGTCCAAAGCCACCCAGAAGAGCCGACCCCTCATGTCCTCCTTTCTCCTGAAGGTACGGAAGTATTCCATGCTATCCAGAGCCACCAGAACCAGGTACAGGCCTGGCACACAAATAGACAGCAATAAAGTTAAAGCCTTCCGGGCGACAGTCTCCAGACTCTTACGATCAGCCTTACAGTTCTGGAAGATGAAGTAAAGCTTGATCTCCAACACAAAGATATAGAGGAACCACAGGATCATGGCGTATCCTCGCCGAGCCGTCCGCACTTCTGCTCCGACCCAAACCGCCACATAGCGGAGGACGATAAGAAAGCAGACGTCCCCGACCAGGACGATGATGCAGACACCGATCTTCCGTGGACCCTGGTTCTGCTCCACCAGGTAGGCGTCCATGAAGGCCATGCTGGTCATGATCACAAAGGTGGTAAGACACACATGCCGCTTGTCTGGTGGTGGCAACACCATGCTGAGGGCCACCACCACATGCACTCACTCACAGCAATGTCGTCCGCTTAGTTGCACTTGGGTTCGAAGGATTCACGATGCTGCAGGTCAAGCTTTGCCGGGCTTGTTGGAGCGTCAAGGCATTTGCGATTCCGATCTTTCGTAATCTTGACCCAGGAACAAAGTGAAGCTTGACCCACAGTTTTGAAAGGGTCGTATTGATTGTGGATCTGAAGAAGCAGTGTTAAATGATGCAAAAGTTACAAAAAAATACTTACTTAGCAATTGAAATGCAACTGAGACCTTGATTCAAGCTTTGCTGCTTTTTCATCCCAGTTTGGTGAACTTTGAATTTCCATTATTACGTAAACTTGACCCAGGAACAAAGTGAAAATAACTTATTCTACAAAAAGCCAATTGCTCCAGGCTGACGGTTTGATTCACACTGCTTTGCAAGGGTCGTATTGATTGCAAATCAGAAGGCGCGGTATTAAATGATACAAAGCTTCAAAGAAGGTCCAGAGCAGGGTTACTTTGCAATGGAAATGCGACTCTTAAAGACCGAAGAGACCTGGTTTCCCAATCTTGGTCTTCTTGGCAGATGATTATTCTCTGACACACTAAACTGAAGAGAAATCTGCTCATTAATCAGCAGGGTTGTATTGATCCCGTTAGACCTCGTTGCCTGTCCGACCTCAGCATTCTCAATGAGACGCCATAACTTTCCTCTTTCACGGTCATGCGATTGGAAGGTGATGTGAGGATACATGGGCTTTCCCGGAAGCTTTGGATGCATTTGCTGGATTGTGAGTTGGTCGTATTTCTTGTGACATGAAGGGAACTTTGAGAAAATGGAGCCTAGGAACCGAATGTTCAGACTGTAGACACTCGGCAATTACCGAGTCAGAGTTATTCAGGCTAAGTACAGTTGTGGTAAGTCGTTTTTCTAATAACGGCAAGGTAACTTTGAGAAAATGGAGCCTAGGAACCGAATGTTCAGACTGTAGACACTCGGCAATTACCGATTTAGAGATATTCAGACTAAGTACAGTTGTGGTAGGTTGTTTTTCTAGTAACGGCAAGGTAACTTTGAGAAAATGGAGCCCAGGAACCGAATGTTCAGACTGTAGATATTCAGGAATTACAGAGCAACATTTGTTTGTGTCTGCCAATGTAGAAATGCTCAGCAGTAGAAGATTGACTCTTGAGGGCTGGTGGTCTTTATCCATAGATCATTCAGACACGGGGTCAGTGGCTCCAGGGGCTCCACATCTGTCTATGGCTCCCCCAGGGGGAATCTCTTTTACTGGGCTTCAGTTTCATCCTCGCCTGCTCTTCTGACACAACCTAGAAAGAGAGAGGGAAGAAGAAGAGCTGTCAGCACAAAGTGGATAATAAATCACGGATTACTGCGAGGGGAGCCAACAGCAAATCCGGTCCGGCCATGGTGTCAGCATCATTTAAAGACATGTGATAACAACATTGAGGAAATACACAGGAGTTACATGACCACTTAATTATTTGCCCTTTTTATTAATACAAGGGAATGCTCACGAAACTCTACAATCCAATCCGTGACAATATTCCAGCATTGATTTGATATCAAATACAGAGAATTCACTCAAACCTTTTTTTCCTCCATAGATATAAAACATGTATCAATTCTAAACCTCAAAAACTATAAGTTGGTCTTTTAGTTAATACTACATGAATTTAATTTGTTTCATGTGTACATGACATGTCTTTGATCTTTGATACTTATCTAATCGCAGATGAATATTTCATCGCTAAAACTGCTCTTTCATCTTTTAGGAGACATAACTGGGTTCTCAGTAATGTTTATTTTCACGAGCGACATTGTCTCTGATGTTTAATTCCTTAGACGGTTGAAAGAAAATAGATGCAGCTGAGTTAATAGCTACATGCAATAAGAATAGAGCTCAGATCATTTGATATTGGAAGAATTTGCTGAGAAATTTAGTTCATTTTTGATTGTAAACTTTGGGGTATTGGCCAAAAATGTTATACTTTTTAAAACCTTGTTGAAAGTAGAATACTGGGGTCTTCTTGTTTTCCACATCCGTGTTATTGAGAATGTCAGTGCCAACTTTAAACTAGTTGAAGGGTGTTTTCACACCTGAAAGTCCACACCAAAGTTCACGTTTTGATACATTTTATACTTTCAGAAAGTTTTGGTTTGGTTTCTAAAGAACTTTACGACATACTTGCATCCTGTCACCATCATCTAGCCTGGCTAACGCCGAACCATGCATCACTGAGAATGAGATGTGGTCTAGAAACCACACTGAAAAAAAAGATTTTTGCTGCTTGTTCAAATCGCTTAATTAAAATTAGCTTAAGCAACATAATTGCTTTACGTTTTGTCCAAACTTAATTTGATTGTGTCCAATCTGCTTAAATATATGTACAATTTAAGTTTACTTAATCCGTTTGTGTTGGATAACATGAATGATTTGTGTTGCATTAACTGAAATTGGGCGGTGCATGTTAATTCCCAGCATGCTTTGCATATGTCTGAATTACGAGAGAATAAATGTTGAAATGAAGTGTTATTTTATATTTTTTTGAGAAAATAAGAAAAGGTTAGTGTGTAATTGTGTTTAATGTTCAATTACTTTGGAATTATTAGAACCATTTAAATTACAGTTGGTTACCATTGTGGAGAAGAGTGGATGATTTGGTTAGGCTGTGGACCGATTCAACTATGTTCATAGCAACTGCTTTTTGCTGATGGTGTATGTATACCTTAGCATTCAGTATGCCACCAAGTACTATTGGTAGCTAACTGCAGGCTATAGACTAGATATTGAGCTGTGTGACAAATACATTCAATCTTAATTGGATAAATGAATATATGAATTTGAATACCTGAAACAGCCAATCAGGGAGCCTTTTAAAATCACTTTGAGACTACTTAATTGGATAACTTAAAATGACTTAATTCCATGAAATTGAAGATACATGAATAAATTATGTTTGTGTAACTTAATTGGTTCATGTGGGACCGATGTACACTATCAAATCATGTAAATCCAACAGACTTTTTTTTTCAGTGCACATGTTCATTTTCTTGTATTTGAGGCGTGGTTTACGAATACCCAGAGCTGTATTATTGGGTGCTACGAATGTCTATCAAATTCGCCTGTACATACACTCTCAGAAAAAAGGTACAAAAGCTGTCACTGGGGCTGTACCTTTTCAAAAGGTAAACTTTTGTCCATTTTAGGTGCTAGTATGTACATTTTAGGTGCTAATATGTACATTTTAAGTGTTAATATGTAAATTTTATGTGCTAATAAGTACATTTTAGGTTTTAATATGTACAGTTTAGGTGCTAATATGTACATTTTATGTGCTAATAAGTACATTTTAGGTGCTAATATGAAGAGTTCAGATGCAAAAGCCTCTAAATGCCATTTGAAATTTTCTTCTTTAATAATGATTTTTATCAAACTTGTATAGTTAAGTTCAGTAATTTCACTTAAATAACAATTAATAGGTAATTATCATTGCCATTTAAGTGAAATCACTGAACTTAAATATACAAGCTTGATAAAAATCATCATTAAAGAAGAAAATTTCAAATGGCATTTAGAGGCTTTTGCATCTGAACTCTTCATATGTACATTTTAAGTGTTAATATGTACATTTTAAGTATTAATGTACATTTTAGATGCTAATATGTATATTTAGGTACTAATATGTACATTTTAGGTGCTAATATGTACATTTTAAGTGTTAATATGTACATTTTAAGTGTTAATGTACATTTTAGGTGCTAATATGTACATTTTAGGTGTTAATATTTACATTTTAGGTGCTAATATGTACCAATAAGGTACCAATATGCAGCCTTTGGGTACAAAAGTGTACCTTTTGAAAAGGTACAGCCCCAGTGACAGCTTCTGTACCTTTTTTTCTGAGAGTGTAGCTCATAGGCAGTTGGGTTAGTGATACCAGATGACGTATATAGAGCGACAGAAAAGTAGACGATGAAGACAACGAAGATTTAGGAGATTTATGTATACACGAAACGTGTTTCTCAATGTCAAGGATACTTCCTTGGCCGGACGGGTCTTTCCAAGTCATTCAGAGGCTAGTCCTTCAGAGGCTAGACGAGGCTCCTCTTTAGCATTCGGAGAACACGTAAATGAAACAGGCTAGCAAGTGCTCGTCATTGCGTCATTACAGGTCCGCTTTCGGCGCTGCAAAAAAAATGGTAGTTCTACTGGTTTGGTAGCCGCACTGTTTAAACACACTTGACAGTCCATATTTTGTCTTGTCAGCCCTCATAGAAATAAAAGTAAGGGATAATGTATAGCAAGACGGTTGTTATATCGAATACAACCCCGCGAACTCCAACGCGAAGCGGAGGGGTCTTGAATGAGCTTGAAGGGGTTGTATTCGCTGTAACAACCGCCTCGATTTACATTTTCCCACTTATATTATATATTATATCATGTGCATTGGATGTATACTCATTGTCAAAAGCGTCACTAGATGACGCCCTAGGATGAGAATGCGTTGGTAATTTTGATTCGGACCAAACTGAAAAGTCAGAAAGTCTGGACCAAACAAGGTAGGTGTGAAAGGGCCCTAAATCACAGAGACATTTGAGGTTTGTATCAGACCTTTTGCACCAAACATCAGTTATTAAATGATTTTGGTGAATCTAGTGCTGCCCCCTTGTGTTGACGCTGTGAAACTGCAAATATAGTCGAGCCATGATGTTATTTCTAATCATGAGTTTGATGGATTTATGCAGGTCAATAAACGTCCATCATCAATAATTCAAGCTGGGAGATTGTGGAACTGTGTTTGGAAATCCATTTAGACTGACCTGTTTAATATTCACACACCGAGCCACTGGCGTTTTTCTGATAGCCAAGGTCGCAGGAGTGCTAATCAACACACTGGGCTGACATTTCACAAAAATTACGCACAAATAATGAAAACTTGACAACACACAGCTAGCCAAATCTCATTCCAGATTAAAATGTCATTCTGAAAAAAAAGAAAAAAAAAAAACTACAACAAAAAACAGTTGAACTAAAACCAGGTAATTGGAGTGTGTTTTTAATGCAGACCATCAGGAGATGAGTTAAGCTCTCTGTCATGTCCAACACAATATTATTAGCATTTGGCAGAGTACACAGATAGCAGACATAGATCTCATTTCTATGCTTGTCAGCTCAGAACGGGGGCAGATTTAAATCAATGTAATAGTCCTCAGAATGATGCATTAGTGATGCTGTATCTGTATGATACGTCACTTGAATAAGAAAACACTGAAAGCGCTGTACTTTATCACTATCTGCTTTGTTTCGTTGGAGAAATATTAATCTCAGTTAATCACGGATTTCCACATGATTAAATGCAAAACCGTGACATTCGTTAGCATTAGGCATGTCGCGTTGATCGATCACGGTTATTCGATCTAATCGCAATTATTTGAGAGAACCACAATAATGGTGAGGTTTGAATTTCAATCACAGTACATAGATAGACAGTGACTTACTTCATAAAAAATAAAGGTTTGTGGGATTAATCAGACTGCATATTATATTATATTAGAATATTATATGATTTACTTTATATTATATGATTTACTAATATAATATTATTTCACAGCATTAAAGTAAATTATGTGGGCCTATTTTATTATAATTTGAATTATTACATTATATATGATTCCATGTAAAATAAACATTATAGGCTTACACTGTAAGTGACATGACAGAACAGAATTAAATAGTTATTTAAAGCAATTATTGCAATCATGATCATGACAGGCCTAGTAAGCATACTGTCATTTTTAATAATTGTTAATTGATTTTAGTAAAGCAAATACTACTAAGATGTATAAATTGTAAAATATTTTAATTACAAATTCACATTTCAGTAAGATTTTGTATATCAAATGAGAACTTTTAAATGTACTTAATCACAATATAAATATAGCTTAATTTATTTTTATGCAAAATACAATTTAATATTTTTTATTGAAATGTTTTGGTGAAACTTGTCAGACATGAAACACTCATCCCAATTGAAATACAGATATAAAATAAACCTTAAAGGCTGAAAGGTTATTTTTGTAAAAGACCCTTATTGAAAGAAAATCCCCAAATCTCTTAAATAAGTTAGTTGGTTCTCCAAGACACCATGGTTTGCAGATGGAGATTGAGTTATTTCAACCCAAATTTGGGTCAAATATGGACAAACCCAAATGTTGGTTTAAAAATGTAATTAAAAATGTACAGTTGAAAGTGAAAGTTGAAGTTGGGTTAAAATTTTAAATTACATTTTTAACCCAACATTTGGG